GAGATCTCCTAAGACCTCATATTTAGTATACGGTCTCAAAAATTACTGTAATATACACAGTAATCTTACCTATCTACAAGAGTAGTTTTTAAAAATTATGTACTTATTTAAATACCCTGTAGGTGACCCAATATTATAGTAATATAGAAGTATCATTAACCTCAGTATAACTGTAATTTTAATTTACTTATGCTGCCTGTAATCATATAAAACACTTTTATTAAATGTTTGAAAGAGCATCCCGAATTTTTCAAACATGTTTTAAAAGATAGCAAGCTAAAATGCCTCTATATTCGTTACTGTATAAATGGGTCTACTATAGTGCTCCGCAAACAGTACCGGCAGCATGTAATCAGCGAAGTGTTTGAATTACTACTAAGTAAAAGCTTTCCACCATTTTTGAATAATAAACCAAGTTATTTTAAGCTAACTTTATATTTTACATTATACCTTAGCCCTATTTTTCTCTTATTTTCTATTTTCGATCAATTGAAAAATGAAAAAAAAAATGGTTGAAATCTTTTTAAAAATTCCAACCATTATTCAACATTTAAATCATTTTTAAATATTAAATCAAGTTATTTTAAGCAAACTGTATATTTTACATTATAGCTTATATTCCTATTTATATCTTATTTTCTATTTTCAATTTTTTGCTACGTAACAGGAGTAATAATAATAGCTGCAATTAATGACAGCTGAAAAGGTGCGAGACGTCTCGTTCCGCAATCGTCTATCTACGCCTATACGTCGCCGCCTACGTCTACGTCTATCTACAAGGCGGTTACGAAATGCCGCAAATAATAAAAAATTAATGCGGAGTGAGAAGAAAAGTCAAAGGCGAGGACGAGATAACGGAGGAGTGGGAGCACTGACTGAAATGACTTCAACTTATAAAGATCCACTGTGGAACATGGACCTCTCCCGATGATTGAAGATTTGTTTTAAGGGCTACAACTAATTTGAAGAATAGGTTTCCAACGACACACTGCTGTCGTGCTGTGTCCGAACAACCATAGCTTTGTGGAAACCGAGAGATAAAACTGCAGCACGAACTGATAACATCTTTATTATAATAAAACTAAATTGACACGGACTTACAATCAACCCAATGGCAACTGGCTATTGAAATCCATTGAAACTTGCGGCCAACTCCATTCAAAGGAGACTACAGATGCGTTATTACCTATAAAGACTAATACCTAATGCCTCCTAGCCTGTAATTAAACTAGTTCTCTACACCCTTCAGACTGAAACCCTTTCTTCCTTTCCATTTCTTTTTTCAGTATAAATAGATAAGAATATGGAATCTAGCTAGATGATCTCTAAGGCAGAGAAGGAGTCCTGCCACCTAGTGAAATTTGACAAAATTGACATTATGAAAAAGTGGCAAAACGATCAGCCGGTATGAAACAGAGGTATCTTTAATGATTTCTTATATTTAATGATTTCTTATATTTACGCGAACACTATACATGATTAAAACTACTTTTACGGATTTTATCGCGTTTATTTTTACTTTTTATTTACTTTTATTTTTAATTCCCGACGTTTCGGGCGCTTTCCAGCACCCATGGTCACGGGGGACTGAGATGACTGACGACCCGATGTCAATGTTAAACCCGGAGTACCTTCAGCTTTTTTAATTATTGTTTATGGTCCGATCTACGCAAAATGAACTGACTATGTCCTGAGATCTTGCAGTGGTATGCTTGGGTTTAGTTTTAATTTTATTGATTATAGGATCCCAAGCAGGTGGTAGTACCCAGCCTCCTTCTCTATTGAAATTAGGATGTTTTTTAATTTCAATAGCCTCACGTATCATCCTTGGTAGGAATCGGTGTTCTTTCGCGAGGATTTGTGGTCTATCAAATCTGATGTAATGGTTGGGTCCGTCTAGGATATGATCACAAACTGCAGCCTTCCCGGAACGTTGATGCTTCACATCAGCTATATGTTCTTTTACGCGGGTCCTAATTGATTTTTTGTTTGTCCTATATAAGAGAGACCACATTCACAATCAAGCTTGTACACTCCTGCATCTTGTAGAGGAATATGGTAGTACAGCAGGCACACGCTCGACTGTGGCTGTGCCTGCTGTACTACCATATGTCAGAGGTATCACAGACAAGATTGGCTATATCTTGAAGCGAGCTTCTATTAGAACATTCTACAAGCCACCGAAGAAGATTAGTCAGTTCCTACCATCCGTCAAGTGTCATATTCCTCTACAAGATGCAGGAGTGTACAAGCTTGATTGTGAATGTGGTCTCTCTTATATAGGACAAACAAAAAGATCAATTAGAACCCGCGTAAAAGAACATATAGCTGATGTGAAGCATCAACGTTCCGGGAAGTCTGCAGTTTGTGATCATATCATCATATCCAAACAGGAACCTGACAAAGGTAAATTTTGTTGTGAAAAGTACGTTACTGTAGTGTTTTTTCTCAAGAAAAACAGAGAAATACGTTTCTATGGATTAAATGCCGTCTCTCGTCGTCTCTCTCGTCCTATTACGTTGCGTTTGATATGACAAACGTATCGTACCTTTGATGTTACTTTTTCTTTGTAATACGCACAAAATGCTATCTCATCTACAACGCAACCTTATACAGCTATATTGCACAAGAGCAATTCCAAATTATTTTAAACCTTTTAAAAAAATCTTATGATATTGCCTAGGAAACCTTACGATTGCGTATTTTAATGTTATGCGTATAAAAGAAGAAAATAACCTTACGTAACTAAGTTGATTCACGTTACAAACTACTGTTACGAGCTTAGGTTGTAGCTTGAGATTCGTGACAACAAAAACTGCCGATTGAATTAGTAAAATTGACACTTTAATTACCGAACACCAATTAAAACTTAAAACACACTAATAATTAATCACACATAACACTTTAGTTCACTTTATTTCGCTCCCAAGACTTCGCTTGAATCGATTCAATACTGCCCCGGCCGCGGCCCTCAACGGCTTTATATAGGTTTTCCACCGAAACATCCCGAACGTTCAAGCACATACCGTTTCCAACCGACTAAGCGTAGAAAAGTCGAGTGTGGATTCGACACTAGATGGCACTGGTGGTGAAAGTTCTAGCATGACATTTTCCAAAAAGCACTCCTCGCTCTGCTACCCGACGTTAGATGGCGCTAGGGACATTAATTATCGCGCGCAACACTACTATGGCTACCGGGTAACATAAGCGAAGGCTGTTCTAAGCATAAAACGAACTACGAGAGTAGAAATAGAAAATATTTTCAGGGAAAATTTTCAGGGAGTTTTTCACGCACTCATCTTTTAATCTCTTAATGTCAGTCTTTTTAATTTCAAAAATGTGAAAAGTAACATGTTATGTATGAAGAGTGATAAAGGCCTTTTTAATTTTTTAATATTAAGTAATTTCTGATTTTCTTTTATAATTTAGATCAATATTTTAAAGAAATAAGGTTGTTCGCAGATACGTGTAAGAGGAAATCTCTGGAGATATTCTCTTGATTACTAATATTCTTTCACTGATAGCAAGGTAATTTATTTCTGACGGACTTAGATTATTAAGTACTGTGATAAAAAATCAGGAAGAAATCAGTATTCTAATTGGAGTAGGTTGTTGGTTTCTTTATCAGAATTTATCAATAGTTTTTAAATGAAGGCTAACATTGGAGTCTGACACTGCACGTCCATTGCTGTTTTCCAACCTGAGGGGTCTAGACAGTCAGTATAGTTACAAGCTGTGAGGAATTCCTCAGAGAAAGTTCGCCTCTGTAGGAATGTTGCTATTATTAGGACATAATATTTATTATGTGGCCGTGAAAGAAATAGGATAGATCTCCCGCTTCTCTATATACTGATTTACTTCGGAACTTCGATAGCGCGATTTAGGCTTCGATGTATTTCGTTTGTGGTGCGACACAGTTACTTGAGCTTGTGATATTCCTCAGTCTACTTAAACGGGTCAAAAATTAAAATATACACATAAAAAGAATAACATAATTGTTGGCGACGCGCCTATAAGAATATTTCAATTTATTAAGTTAATCGATTACGAATAGCTTCTAAAAAGCTAATTATCAAGTAACAATATTCCGATAAGAAAGTGCTCAGTTGAATCTTAAAGAAATATTGAATTAATGATATGAAGGTTCGACTCCCAGGCCGGAATAGTTTATCGTTTTCTTAGTAATACCTCTTAATAAATTCATATAGGGAATTTTTAAGATATAAACTATGTTACCGGATTTGTTCCCCGGTTGAAATCATCTTTCCAATGATGTAAATTTAAAGGAATATTAAAATAAAGTTAGAGATCGGATTTATTCCCCGGTCGAGGTGATCACTTTGTGAGTAAATAGAATTAATGGAAATTAATAGCATGGGTGTTGTCTTATATGGGTTTGATATGTTTTGTATGAAAACGAGTGCCTATTTGCTATGATTGATTTGTGAAAACATTCACTTATATTGTTGTCTGATGGGAGATATGATAACTGATAAGAATCTGATTAGAAATAGTTTCCTACAGTTTGAGAATTGTGTAAAAGCATTGATTATACTATACTACTCAATTTACAGTTTGGTGCGCTTTACAAGGTAGACACGTATTTCTATGCTCCGGGCTTTTTCAATTGTGAACCAATATAAAAACAAAAGATCATTGTTGTGTTATATATTAAAGTGTAGATAGTGAACTCAGTAATATAATAGTGAAAATTGTTTATAAAAAGTTTTTCTTACTTCGAAGATATAACGAAAACCATTTTAAAAAATTATACACAACGGACGAATTATGTTATACTACACTACACTCGCTGCAGCGTACACTTGTGGTGAGTCATTTCTATTATCTCTGACGACTTTAAGACACACGAGCGAAGCGGACATTTTTACATATAAACAAAGCGGACATTCAATACCGCATTACAATGACAAGAAAATGTACAAAATGCGACAAGATTATTTTTAATAGACAGTTTTTGAAATGTTCTCTTTTTTTATGAAATGAAATTGTTTTATTTAATGAAACAGAAGGAAAGTAATAACTGGAACTGTGAAAATCGCAAAAATAAACGTCAAATTACAAATAACCCATCAACATCAGCTGAAATACAGGCAAGTAATACATCGACACCACAAGGCTTTGCTACACGCCGGAGTAAAAATAATGTAAACATTACAAATGCAAACTCTTTTGCATCACTCTACTCTGAGGTTTCGGAGGATGATGATTTCTCTGTTTCCAAAACACCGAATTTAAACAGAAGCTGTCCCAAAGAAGGTCTTATTATGAACGAGGTTTTGGATGACCTCAAAATAAAAATAGCTAACTTAGAAAATAAACTCCAAATAGCCGAAACAGAAATAGAAAATTTATTGTTGGAAAATAGCTCTCTAAAAAGACAAATTTTAAACTATGAAAAAAAAGACGAAACAACTGACACAAATATTTCGAACAACGCCGGTAAGAAGTGCTAGTTTAAGAGGACGCAAGAGCCTAAATAAAAATAAATTTGATTTCACATGCTTAGACCAAACAAAAGATGAATTTGTTACTCAACCACATAATGAATCAGATGAAAATAAAACATCCAGCCCAAAAAAGACACCGGAGAATGTAAGAAATGTGGATAATACTACTGAATTGCCTGCACAGGAAAGAGAAGACTCCACTGACAATACTATACCAAATGAGACGAAAAAAAGGTATTAATATTAAGTGATCAAAACGGTAAAGGTTTTCGCTGTTTACTCCAAAATATAATTGATAAAGAATTCCAAGTGACATCTATAGTAAAACCAAATGCTTTTATATCACAAATTTTAACATATTGTAATACTATATGTAAATATTTTACTAAATCTGACTATGTTATAATTATAGCGGGTTCAAACGACCTCAACCCACTTAGCTTGAGATCTTCTCTGTATCACCACTTATCCTTACTATCAAACACAAATGTACTAGTTGGTGAAATATTAAACAACAGAATCTTAAATATTGGTAAATTAAATGATCAGTTGCTTTTCTTGTGTTCTCAATTTTATCACGCTGGATTCGTACCATTAAACTATGGAGACACAAAGCAACATTATAAGTTATATATGAGTAGACTTATGTTAAGAGAAATACTCAGTGTAGATTACAGAAATAGATTTGTTGATTATAACACCATCAAACCGCAATGTTTAAAACAACCTAACTCAAAAATAGTGCAAAAAGAAATTACACAATACTTCAAAAAAAAATAATATCACAAAGACGAATAATGTTACTAATAATAACACAAATATAAATAAAGTTCAACTAACTATTCCATACATTTTCAATAAAATAAAATTAAAACAAGCTAATGCTACTCTAGGTCCTAACAAAACTATTGAAATTGACAAAAATAAAGACTTTTTTCGTAAATAAAGATGAAAACTGTTTTAATACAATTCACTTAAATGTTCAAAGTATTAAATCAAAAACAGAACAATTGGAATTGCTAACGCTAGAGAAAAACATCGATGTATGTTGTTTCTGTGAAACTTTTTTAAAGAATCACGAAGTGGACATATTTCAAATTGACGGCTATAAAAAAAGTAGCTCATTTCTGTACGAAACGTAAAAAGGGAGGCGGTGTTGCCATTTTTTTAAAAAATCTATATACACGAACACAATGAACAGAAATGGCTATAGAAAATAATTTTGAATGTTGTGGTGTGTTAATAAGTGGATTAAACTATTTAATAATATCCGTGTATAGAACACCAAATAGTGACTTGGATGTTTTTTTGATTAATATGGAGTATTTATTAAGAAAAAATAACAATACGAACACGAAATTGTTATAAAAATATGTTTGTATTAGGTGATTTTAATGTAAATATATTAGAAAATCATAAACAAAGTAAGTCGCTACTGAACATGTTTCAGGCTTATAAATTACATACTACTATTTTGATACCTACCAGAATTACTTCACACTCACAAACATGTATTGATAATATTATGACTAATAGGAAAGAATATAATGTTAGTGTATTAGATGTTGAGGTATCTGATCATACTTGTCAATTGATATCGATTCCCTCAAACAAAAGCTTTAAGAATAAGTTTTGGTATATGTTTATAAGAAACCCAGACATGTATATAGAGATTTTCTTAAAATACCTATCACAGATTAATTTCACAGATCCTTATTCACAATGAGATCCCAATGATGCGTATACAATATTTTTAGATCAGTTTAGTCTGATTTACGATCTTTGTGTGCCAAATAAAAAAAATTGAAATAACGTATAAAAAGAGATTAAAGTGGAAAACAAAAGGTATTACGATATCCAGTAGGAACAAAAGACAGTTATATTTAAAGAAACGGTATACAAACTGCCTTGCTGCGAAAAATAGATACAAAAGTTATTGTAAAATTATGAAGGCAGTTACTAAGCAATAGAAAAGAAATGCAAACATTAACTATATAAACCAAAGTAGTAATAAAAGCAAAGCTACGTGGCAAGTTATTAAACAAAATACTACAAAAATAAATAATATTAATGAGACAATAGAAACTATTCAAAAAGATGACATTACAATTAATCAACCTCATGACATAGCTAAATTAATGAATGACTATTATAACAAATTAAATAATCCTATCCAATCGATTGGCGACATAACATTCAAACCAGTGACTAATCCAAATTTAAATAGCATTTTTATGACCCCTGTAAATATTTCCGAAACTATTAACATTATGAATAATTTAAAGAACAAAAAAGTATAGGCTACGATAAAATACCGATGAAAGTAATAAAATCAAGTACACATTTAATAGCGGAACCTCTAACGCACATTATAAACTTGACCTTAGAAACAGGAATTTTTCCAAATGAGTTGAAAAAAAACACTAATAAAGCCTTTATACAAAAAAGGTGCCAAAAATGACATGAACAATTATAGATCTATTGCTCTATTATCAAATTTTTCAACAATATTCGAAAATGTCATATCAAATAGGTTAATATCATTTTTAGACAAATATAAGATTTTAAATGTAAATCAATTTGGGTTTCAAAAAGGGAAGAACACGACATTGGCTATATTTAAAGTTTTGAAAGATATTTGGAAAAATGTAGATCAAAAAAGGACTTGTGTTGGTCTCTTTTTGGATGTGTCAAAAGCGTTTGAATGTTTTGTTCATAATATATTGATAAAACAGCTTGAACATATAGGCATACGTGGAATAGCTCTAAAATTAATTGAATCTTATTTAACTGACAGAATACAGGCGACAATATTAGATACATTTGTCAAAAAAAAAAACAAAATCAATAACTCAAGTGCATTCCGATTTCAAAAAATTAAGCCTAGGTGTACCGCAAGGTAGCATACTAGGCCCACTGATGTTTTTAATTTACATAAACGAGCTTCCATTAATGATCAATCATCTATGTGTAATGTATGCTGATGATGCTACAATATTCTTATCAAGTGTTGGCGCGACTTCTAACGCCGCCTAGCGACGCACCGGAACACCAAACTTTTAGCTACTTTTAGCTCGTCATTGTTAACAACCAATCACAGCACGTCGTGCAATTAGTTATAAGATCTGTCTGTTTCAAATTTTGATTATTACCTGATACACACTGTTAGGAATAAGACGACTTAAATATAACCAACAAACGTTCAATGAATCAATCATTGAAGAGCACCTGCCTCCCGTTCCTGTACATAAAGTGGTCCTATCGAGCCGAATAAGAAGTTCAAGCTTGGAATCTCCTAAGATTCGTCGCATCAAAATACGAAGAGGAGATTCACGTGTCGAGCGAAGAGCTGCAATGTTAAGGCATCGAAAGACAGGAGTGGCAGGTTTGAACTTCCCGTCCGTTTCCCCATCTCATCCTTCGATAGGTGTTGATTTCGTGCTGATATTCCATTTCCAGTGCTCAAGTGGCGGTACCTACCTGCGCAACGGCACCCACCTTGGTTCGCACGCATCTACAAATTGGCAACTGTAAGTACTCTTGATTTCCTTAATTTCCCAACATGAGTGAGCCCAAATTGCCAGATTTAATTAAGAAAAGAGGAGTTTTAAAAGGTCGATTAACTCTGTTTGAAAATTATGTTAAAAAGTTCACTTTACCCTTGACTGAACAACAGTCATTAGAATTAAATTTACGTGTCGAGAGTACTTCGAGTTTGATAGAGATATATAGTGAAATACAGACTAAAATTGAAGAAGAGGTAGCGGAAGATCTCGATCTTGTAAAACAGCTGGAAGAGAGAGATCGTTTCGAAAATCAATTTTATTGTGCTGTAGCTTCTGCAAAACTTTTATTGAGAAAGGAAGTAGCTGACAAGTCTAGTGTTTCAACATGTAAGCCGATAGGCATAAAGTTACCCGATATTAAAATACCTTCCTTTGACGGTTCATACGATTGCTGGCTAGAGTTTAAAAATTCTTACGTTAGTATGATTCATGATCGCGATGATTTAGGTCCTGTTCAAAAATTTCATTATTTAAAATCGTCATTGTCCGGTACCGCGGCACACGTCATAGGTGCATTAGAATTTACGGCTCACAACTACTATCACGCATGGGAGCTATTAGAGAATAGATTTAATAATCCGCGTCTATTGGTTCACAATCATGTGAAGGCATTATTTAAAATTCCATCGTAAATAAAGAGTCCGCTGCCCAGATTAGGAACTTAATAGATATTGTTTTGAGAAATTTGCGTGCCCTTAAAACGTTAGGTGAACCAACAGATTCATGGGACACTTTAATCATTTACATGGTCGTTTCCAAATTAGATCAGGCCACTGAACGCAAATGGGAAGATTTTCAAGGTACAGCTAGTTCGTTAATTGAATCGAGGTCAGCTTTGAAACTGGATGACTTACTTAAATTTCTTAAGGACCGCGCCGACGTTTTAGAAATGATAAAAGTCAACCATAACAAATCCCACGAGAACAAAGGCGGCGAACAAACGCGCTCTAAGAAACAATATACACATACTCATGTTGCTACGAACGTTACTAACAATAACAATAAGGGTAATACGAAACTAAAACAAAGCCGCGTGTGTGTGATGTATCATGGTAATCACGCGATTTATTCCTGTTCAAGGTTTCTTAATTCGTCTATCCAAGAAAGGAATAAGATAGTTAAAACGCATCAGCTGTGCATCAATTGTTTACGCGCAACCCACCCACTTGACGAATGCAAGTTTGGGCCATGTAGGTTGTGTGATAAAAGGCACAACAGTTTGCTTCACATTGATGGGCAGGTAGACGGCGCATCACAGGTGAGCGGGTCGAGTGCATCAGCACAGCCGGTCACCGCTAACGTCTCCACTGTCTCGTCATCATTACACGTTACGGCTAACCATTCAGAATCGCAAAACAGTAATCAGGAATATTCGTTATTACCCAACGTTTTGCTGCCCACAGCGTTAGTGGACATAGCAGATTATAATAACAAATATCACACTGTACGCATTCTGCTTGATAATGGTAGTCAACATTGTTTCATAAAGAAATCGTTATGTGAAACATTAAATGCACCGTTAATACAGTCCACTTATCACGTTGCTGAAGTAGGTCAAATAATTTCGCAGTCCACCCACATTTGTAAAATAAAATTACGTTCAAGGTTAAATTCGTTTTGTATGAACATTGATTGTTTAGTGTTGCCGTGCATTACAAATCAATTACCCACATTT